TGCCTTTAGGTTTATGAATGCTTTGTTAGGGTGGAGCAGAACAGAAGCTAGAGTCTCCAGCCAACTACAAGTCTCCTTTGTCATATATCTCATTTTTATTTCTTAGTTTATATGTTTTTAAAATAGTGTCAGGGCTATCACATTGTTGTTATCTGTGTTAATACTTTGTGTCTTGATTCTGAAATGTCTGTCAGCTACATCTCCAGGTCTAGCCTGGAGTAATTTCCACCATAACTTTTAATTCGAGCAGTCATCAGGGTGGAAGATTTTAGGCTTTGGAAGCCTTTAATTTCATATAATTGTTTTGAAAAAGAAGATGGACATCATCTGAAGAATTTGAGACTGTAGAAGAATGTTAGACAAGAAAAAAAAACAACCCCCCGCAGTATTATTATTTGTATTTAGAAGGGTATAACACAGACTGTCTGTAGGAAAAAAAGAAAACTTTTCTTGAGAATCTGACTGGCAGTCTTCATTACAGCAGAGAGAATTTCTTCTCTGGATTAAAATAAAAAATTGTGGCAGATATATAGCACATGGAACTGTTTGGGCCTGTCATTTTATGTAGGTAAAAAACCCTTAGCAGTTCAATTTTAGCTTTACTACCTTGGTATCAAGACTGACTGAAATTGGGGTTCAATTCCTCAGCTTTACTGAGGTTTTGATAAATGATCCCACCCTTTTTCTGTCTTCAATTCAAAATGAGATAGAGTTTATTCTAGGTCTGGAAAATCCAAATCAAGGTTTATTTAATTTTTGAAGTTGAGTAAGTGATAGGACTTCAGCTAGTTAGGGCTCTTTTCAATTTTTTTTTTCATTTCCATTAGGTGTATTTTCCACCTTTAGTGATTGCTGTGTTCAGCTAATCTGTCAATTTAACCAAAGCAACAATTTCACAATGTAGTTTTCTTTCTGATTGTGTGCTGTGTAATCAATATACTGATATAATGTGAGTGTAATTTCCTCTCTTATTTTATCTCCACTGCACAGTATTATAAATAAACAGCTAAAAAAGAAAAAAGAAAGAAAAGCACCAAACAAATCTGTTGCATCTTCTTTTAAGATTGTACCACTGTAGACACTTGTTCTAGTAAAGTAGAATTGGACCCACTTGATTGCATTTAAATTTTTCATGCTTCAGCAGTTTGTCTGGGAGCACAGTAAAGAAAACCCCCCGAGCGAGGATAGTTTAGAATAATAGAACTTGATTTTGTGTATTATAGCGGCACCATTTGCGCTGCTGTAGTTAGGGTTGTGTCAGCACTTCCATTATAAACCCCTGTTTGCAGGGGTTATAACTAGGGAGATATTTTTTATCAGAAACTTTTTTTAAAATCCTTTGAGTGAATTTAATTGATAATAGAAAAAAATATAATGGAAATTAGGAAATTTCTGATACTTTTTACAAGCCTTATTTATCATGAATATTGACTATACGTCCCCTCGCCCCCCTGCCCCCTAGGGATTTAGCAAATGCATTTTAAAGATTTTAAATGTAAAATTGGGAAGTTATTATAGCTTAAAATTTGACTGCTATTCATACTCATAGTTTAACATTAAAGCATTTTAACACTACAACCTGTTCTATTGTTTAATGTTATCATAAACATAAACTACTCAAACAGGGCAGATTCTTCTCCCTTTGAATTTGATGAGACACTGGAGTTATTTGCCAGTCTCTGCCTTTGGACTCGGTGGAGTTCTGTGTACAGAATTCTCCCATTTAAGTAAGCAAAACCAAACACGTAACAAGTGAAAAAACCCATCATGTAGTAACTGACTGGTTAACACCCAGTCCCGGAGTTTATATTTACTTTGTTTTTGCTAATTATAAACCCAGGCATAATCAATATTCGGTGCATAAACTGGCACCCTCAGACGACATGTACACATGAGGTATGTTGACTGAGTTAATGATTGTGCTGGGAAAAGAAGATGGGGGCCTTCATCTAGCAGGGTCCTACATCTCTGTCCCTTTTTACCACAGTGTTTAAAATCTAGCAACCAAAAACCTGAAAAGTACCATCAGGTGCTGACCTCTGACCATAATTAATGCACTAAACTTTGCTATTTTAGCAAAGGCTTGGGGGAAAATAGAAATGAAACACAGCCCTAAAACTTATGTCATGATGAGAGCAAGTGCCCTGGGACATCTGCCTGTGCTTGCTTTCTTTTCAGACTCCAGGACTATAGGTAGCTGAGTAAAGTACAGTATGAAAATGTGTTTGACTATAATGCAGCAGTGAAGGAAAGGCATAAGAGGAGCTAGAAAACATCTGAACCCTGCACTCAGTCTAACTTCTTAGTGTACAGAAAAAACTTGCTGGCATGGCTTGAGATTATTAGTGAATGTGATTTTGTCAATAAGACTTTTATTTTTAAGGTTAACAGAGACCCCTTTTCTCTATGTAATAAACTTAAAATTCAGAACATGAATAGAGATTTTTCTTTAAATACATTTAAAATATCATGAATAAGAGGAAAGTATATTAGTGTACATAGCAAAGAAAAAATGTTTCCTCTCTAGCGCATTATCAGTAGATAGCTTCACTGAATGGTCACTTGAGGAAATACCAAAAGCCTGTTTATGAAATAGAGGTGAAGCCTTTCTAGACTAATTATATTCAGCATGTAATTTCTAAACTTCAGTCTGAATTTTGATTTTCAATTAACATTCCCAATTTGAAGATAATTTTCTATTTAATGTAATTGCAGGAAATAATTTATTGGCTGATTAAGACTGAGGGCCCAGCCTTCCTTAAGAAAACAGTCCCTAACAAACCAGCCTTTAAAGCCAAGTCATAGCTTTGGACAGATTCAGCCTATTTTTGCAGCTGCAGAGTTGTGTTTAATTAGGATTGTGCACTATTATTCATTGGTGCAGTTTGTAGTTGAAATTGTTCTTAAGAGACATTTTTGTTTCTAGTTTTGTGTCATGATTAATTTATGGTGAAGGAACAGCCATAGCTATTGCTTTTCACAGAAGCTCTTTCAGTTTGAAAGAGGAATAAGATCTGTTGAGAAGGTGAAAGAAAGGAAAATCCTTTATTGTGACTTTCAGTTTTCATTACTGGTTTTCAGATTGCATAAAGTGTTGACTTATATTTTCATGTGAGTGATTATATTAACATGACTATTTTAATGAGAAAGGGAAAAGTAAACCTTTTATTTTATCTTGGCTCGTAGTAATTATGAACCAGAACCTTTTGAAGTATGCACAATAATGCTGGTTGCTGAACTCTTGACATATTTTCTTTAGCATCAACACATATTCTTTAGTGTAGTAAGAATGCAATATATGGTTTAAATTCCTCAGTTCTGCTTATTGACAGCACTGATACTAGACTCCCACTTACACTTAGGCTTCCCTAAAGAAAACACAAACCTTTTTTTTTCCCTACAAGTATCGAGTTTAAGAGGCAGGATTATCTCTATTTACAGAATAGTTATTCTAAATAGGTATCAGTGTTTTAATATGTTTCAAAGCACTTCAAAGCTTGTAATACTTTCATATTGAACTGTACATAATTAGATTAGTTGATCTTATATTAATTTTTTTTCACTGTAGGATACTAAATCTGAACTCCCTCATTAATTGTGAGAAATTTAGCATTAGCTGTTAAATCCTATGTGAAACACAGGCTGCTACATAAAAACTAATGTTTAAATTGGAATTAACTTAATTATTTTTCTTTGCACTTGATATTTCCTTCACTGTAATATTCATGAAAGCATGTGACAGATTTGTAAATTTAACTGTTAGTCTCAGATTTCCAGGCCCTTTAATCAGTATTTATTTGTCTGTAGAAACAGTACTAGCAAGTTAATGATTTGCTAATTTGAAAAATGCTCATGTGGTTTCCTATGTTAACTGATTTGTGCATTTTTAAAGAAATGGTATGAAATCAATTATTGTTAAAAAGCAATTAAGGTGGAGATCTTATTCCTTAGTTTCTCAGCAATTTCAGTGTCAAGGATATTCTAAAATTACTAAAACCTAGGAAAATAGCTAATATATTTTAGCTGTCTTCTTTCAGGTTTATTAATGATTGTTTTAACAGTTGCAGTTAATCTTATTAGAAATTTTAAGAAAGTGTTTTCAGATTTTGAGTGGAAGTCAGTTATATTTTCACCTAAGTGCAGAAACTGTGGTGAAAGCTGTGTTTGCATATGAGATGGTAGTAAGAGGCCATTATTAGAAAAAGACATTTAACATAAATCAATGCATTTATTCATCACACTTTTAAGTCATTTAAAGTAATTTGTTCAGCTATATCCTGTACTCAATGTCTAATATGAAATGAAACATAATTATTTTAGATTTTTAGTTCAAGCTGTAAAAGATTACTCAGATATTATCCATCCATTCAATAATCTATTCCATTTTAGAACACTTTTCATATGAATGTCTCAAAACACTTTCCAAAAGGTCAAACTGGGTAAAATTTTAAACAGGTTAAGAGCAGATACAACTTTTAAAAAAAGCAAAAGGACTTATATAGCAGATTTTGAAATAGATTTAAAAATGTGTAGAAACATCTTCTGCTTGCAAGGAATGCTGTTAAGAAAGCATGATGGACACTTTTCTCTAAAAGTTTGCTTGTAACCTTCAGATTGCTCATGGGAGTAAGAGTTTAAAGATTTGAACTCTTACATAAAATCAACATGAAAATACCAATAAAGTACATTTACATTACATCTTCTTATGGCTGGAGAAAATCATATTGTTTGACAAATGTAAATGGATAGAATGGCATCATATAACTTAACCCTGAACTTGACTTGGCATCAGTGAGTACATTATCTTAGTTTTTTTTTGATCCAGATCCCCAAACCCATAGTTTTGGAAGTCTTATTGTTGACTGCATATGATTCATTTTTTAACTGTTGTAGGCAAGCGTGGTGTGTTTACAGGACTGTTTTGACTGTTTTGAACTTTTTTTGTTGGTTTTTTTTTCAACACCAATGTTTTCATTTCGTCTGCTTTTCTTGTTTTGTAGAAGAATGTCTTCCAAGCAGGCTACCTCTCCCTTTGCATGTGCAGCTGATGGAGAGGAAACAATGACCCAGGACTTAGCATCATGTGACAAGGAAGAGGGAAACAATGATCAGCATGCGACCTCTCATCTGCCTCTACATAATGTAATGCACAACAAACCTCACTCTGAGGAGCTACCAACTCTGGTCACGACCATTCAACAAGATCCTGAATGGGATGGAGTAATCTCAGCCCAGCACAGAATGGTGAGTTTTGCAGTTCTCACAGTGGCTTTCTAACCTAGTATTGTCAAAGACTGTTCACTTCCATTTTGAAATACATGTTCAGTACAATCCTTTATGGCTGTAAAGCTTTTTAAATGTTAAAGTGTCAGTGTTGGTAATAGATCAACATCAATATGGTGTAATTGTAAATTACAATTGTATAATCTTCTTAAGTATACAGGTCTATATGAATGAGGTCATTTGATGAGTTCACCTTTGGAAAGGAAATGCATCTATTCATCATGTTTTTGTTCATACCTTAATTTATGTCATAACCTTTTTAGCTCATATATTCAAGCATTAATTTCTGACAGGAGGATGTAGCTCACAACTGTCATCTGCAAAGTGTTGTGCTGAAGGAAGAAGCTTTAATGTATTTTTTTACTTGTTTCGGAAATGGAACCAACCAACTCTAGAATATTATAGCTTCACACCACAACAAAGCAGCTGGAATTTTAGGTGACACAAACATCCTGCTTTATTTATAGGAAATTACAAGTTTTTCTGAAGGGGAAAAGTATTTATGAGTAACTATGTCATGCTCTGCTGCTCTAGATCACCAGTTTGTATATAGGTGATGTTAGCAATGATCAGAATTATCATCTGTGTTCTCTTCAGTAGCCTAAATTATTTTACAGTTGTAATTCTGTCTCACCATCCCAAAACTTAAATAAATGGACAGACTGAATGAAGACTGAATGGGCATGACATCTCAGTCAATTTATTTTCCTTGCATGTGTTCCTCAAACAGAATTAAGGTACGTGGAGCAGCCAGGTGTTCTATAAATTTAGAACATCATAATTCCAGAGTCTCCATAAAATGACTTTCACAGATATTAAGTTCACACAGTTAGTTTAAAAAGAATACCCTGCGTTTCCATAAAATTTCTTCTGTATTTTTATTAAATGTCTATGAGCAGGTTTTTTTTGAGCAAGTCTTTATTTTTATTTTTCAGCATGTTTTTTTTTGACAACGCTAGGAATAATGAACTTATTTTAAATTTGGCTAGAAGTAATAATTCTAATTCGTTAATCAACGTAGATACTGGATTCTTCATACATATTGTGAAGCCTGGAATTAATTAAATAGTAGCACTACAATAATATCTATTTTCTTAAGATAGTGTTTTGTTTTTTTTTCTTTCTAAAATCCAATTGATTAAAAAGATCAAACCAAACCAGAAAGATGAAGGTGCTACCTAATCTGTAATGCACAATTTAAGCCAGTGCATAACTTTCTATCAGGCCTAAAATATTGCTAGGTGTTTGGGCAGCTGCCATGAAGAAGGCAAAATTTCAGCTGTAAAAATGGCTAGTAATTTGGCAAGGTAGGTTGTAAGTTGTACATATGATTGCTATGCAGAATTCTCAGATGGACACTCCTTTTGGATGGAGAGTCACTCTTCTGCGTAGATCATGTGGTAAGCACATCAGAATAATTTTTAATTCTATGTTATCAGGACGACAAATTGGATGCATACTAGAAAGGATTGATCAAGTTTGTTGATGGAAAAAATAAATCTGTGAATTCTTCAGCTACTTTCCTATTCATTCAGAGAGGCATGTGCACTCTGGGAATTTCAGTCTTAGGACATCAATAACATTGATAACATGACTCTGTGTCCTAGAAAGAAAGGAACTCGTAACTTCTAAGAGTCTGCCAAAGCATTTGGTTTTGGTACAGGCTGTTGCTTGGACGTGAGCATTAAGGCCACGGACATTAAGCCAAAATGATAGACCCTCTTGTAGTATGATCGGTTGTACTCACTTGTATTGCTCTGAAGTGGTTTTACATTTACTGCTACAGAGTGCAATCTCTATTTTCTTTCTTAATGCTCACTATCATGTCAACACTGGCTGTACCTCTGGACAGGCATTAATCAATACCCAGCTTATCGTATTTCAGAACAGGTGCATAAACTTTGCTTGAGTGACTTAGCACTCTGTTTTTTTCTCTCCTTTTTCCAGTAAATATTCACTCATATATGTAAATGAATGTCCTGAAAATCATTAGGAAACTCCACAGTTCCCTTGGATTAAATCTGGTGGTGGGTTTTTGTCATCCTTATTTAGGTAGCTCTCAGCTAAATCAAATAGATTTATTTATGTATTTATTTATTCCCCCCCCCCCCTCCCCAGCTCTAAGATGGGTATAGTTTACAAGGCTTGGCTAGAAATGAAAACTGTAGTTCCAAAGCATACTGTTTGGTTGCACTCAAAAGAGGCTTAAAATGTGCTGAGCAAGGTCCCAATGTATTTACAGTTTAGGTACATTACATGACTAGTTAGATCACAACAGTGAAGTGGTGACAATTTTTTTTTTCTCCTTGAGGGACTGTCATTTAGGGTAACTTGTTTGATCATTTTTTTTCCCTTACTTATGTTCTTCGTGAGCAAACCTTTAAGCCGTTATTACATGAAGTTTCTCTGAAACACCTCAATCTCCAAGCAGGCATCAATATTACTAAGAAAGAATTCAGAGGCACCTACAATTTTCCTGATGAAGGCAATTTCATACGCCTTTAAGGGAGGATAGGAGTTTCTTTCCAGAAAGACAAACTCCAGAAGGTGGGTTGGGCAAATTTGAGATAGGTGCTGTGCTAGTGACTGCTTTTCTACTTAATAAAATCAAATTCCCAGAAGGTAAGCACTTTCTGACCTTTCCCAGATGAATCCTTTCAAAGCAGATTTGAAGAAGCACCTGCTCATACTATTTACACTGAAAGTAATGCTGTCATTAAAATGCATCAATAATGTGTATTGTCTGGTTATAAGATAGTAAATTGAAAAAATGCTGTGTCAACATATGGGGAGGAAAAAAATTCTCTTTTATGTGGTATCTAATTAAGGGTACAATCCTGCATCCTTTGTGCCCTTAAATCTACTAAGCAGTTCCCTGGAATTTGTGAGAGCCCACACTATGCATCGTAACATAGTGCAAGGGCTGTACAGATCTTAAGTGAAAAAAAAAATACTGTAAGAGGGCAATTAGACTGAAAAAAAAATTGAGATTTTTTCCTAACATTTATGGTATGCAGCACTTTCTGTAATGTAAGATACCTTGAAACTACATTGTGTATTATCATAAAAAAACCCACACTGGCTAAAAATGTTTTCAAACTTTCACTCCCTTTGATATCAAGCATTGCTTTCCACCGAGTCCTTTGTGTATTCTGAATGTCTGGAAGCCAAAATATTTTGTTTTAACTCCCACTCTATAGTATTTCCCAGCTGTGTGCTTATATGGTGTAATAAAATGATTTAACAAATGGGAAATAGCAGCTGCATTTGGAAATTCCCTTTGTGCTGCCTTTTCATTTGACAGATTCAGCAATGTATAACAACTGTAACATCAGACCTGTAATGACTTACATTGAGTATCGTATCACCAGCCAATTTGATGTTACAGTAAAACAACCGAAAGATTTCTGTAATTTCATATTGCTGAGCTGAAACAATTATATGTATACTTCTAACTGTAATTTAATATAAAAATACCTGGGTATGTGGGTATTTATTGCTGCCTGCAGTCCTACTAGAAAATAAAACTGATTTTAGATCAAGGATATACCTGTTTGCTGTAGTAAACTGCAAGGAAGAGGGCAAAGTGGTAGTAAGATAATGAGGAAAGTATCCTGCTTTCCCTCATGGACAGTGAGTAGCAGGCAAGAAATACAGGAAAATTTTTAGTTTGTGTCCAAAACCTGGCTCTCTTGGGGCAACAAGAGAAGATAAGGGGGAAAGCCAATAATATTTGCTTCTGCTAAATTAAATAGTAACTGGATTATTATATCCCAGTAACATATTTACTAGTGGAGAATATGGAGAATCATAATTTGTGCTTTGTTTGTTGGGGAACCAGGATGGTCCTCACCTTCATACAGAGCCTCACACATCTCGTGAGGTAAATTTTGAAGATTTTTTTATTTTTGCTCTGAAGTATCAGGAGAAAACAATGCCAACAGCAGGATACAAAATCAGATGGACAAGTGCCCTGCTCTTCTTTGAGGAATAGGATGGTGATTTCCCATGGCTGTAAGGGCTACTTGTGAGTCTCATGAGAAATGCATTTGAGCAGCTTTAACCTAATGTAATCTGTAATCTTTCTTCAAAATGCAGAATTTCCCCACCCCCACCCAGAAGCTGCAAACTGTTTCCATTACCAATGCCAATAGAACTATCTGGTAACAGACAGGGTTTTGAAAGAACTCACGGGTGCTGTGTTGACCACTGTACATGATGATGTATCGCTGTGATGGTCACTGTACTCTTTTTTTCCCCCAATGATGTTCCTCACCTGCCCGCTACTGTAGGGGGTATATAGACAGCGTGTGTTTGCACAGAACGAGGGCATCCACATCTCTTTCCTGTTACTTGGAATGATGCAGTGATAGACTGTTACACAGAACCACAGCAGCAAGTCAAGTCTAAAGGGTGGGTGTTATTTCACTAGGACTGAGGACACCCAGACACGCATAAAAATGCAAATACAAGTTAGTTACATCCAAATATATGCTTTGTTTCCCTATAATTTTGTAGCACCATTCAGAGACCCCTTGGATTTAGAAATGAAATGTATCTCATTGGATTTTATCTCAAATAGCAACATTGACATATATTTCATAATTGTGTCAAGTCTGTCTTTTCTTGACTTGCCAAACGAGTGAAAGCCTTCTTACCTTTTCACTGTGTCTGCCTGTACAGCTCAGCAGTACTGATAGCGAATTTGTATATGCAGCAGGAAAAGTGAAGATCCCTTAATGCCACATGTATCTGTTTCTTTTAAAAGAATTTTAGATCACTATGGATCAAATTTAACTTTATATAGCTTTAGCAAAACTGCTGGCATCAGAAAGGCAGAAATATAGGTGGTATCCTGAAGGTCATGATATTTCAGTGCTTATTGTCTCTGCATAAAACAAGCACAATCCCGTTCCTCCCCCCTCCCCTGCCTTCTTGCTATTAACTTCTCTCATCGAAAG